GGCCGGAGTGAGCCGGAGCGAAGGCCTGGGTCCCGGGTGCCGGAGGAAAACCGGTGCCAGCAGCCAGGGGAGGGGAAGGCCTATTGCACGAATCTCTTTGTGCAACGGGCATCTAGTAGTCTCTATATAACAAAATAAATAGTCAATCTAGTAAATTCTGTTTTCTTGTATAAAGTCACCTTATTCATAAGTAAAATAATTGCTTACAGGAAGGTTTTTTTCAATTGAAATTTTGTGTTTTTCCCCCAAACCATTGAACAACTTTTAAACTGCATATGTGGGACCTAAATTAGTGAAAGAAATTTCAAGCTGAGAGATCCATATTTTAATACCTTATGACAGGATATGCAGTAGGAGAAAATAAATAGAACCAAATAATTTCCATTGTATTTCTATGGTATTTGCCATCAAAACCTGAACAATGGTGCACAATGAATTGGCAATATCTCAATATCTAGTGGCCCAGAGCAATTAATGCCACAATAAGGGATCCTTGTTGACCTTTGTGGAAACAAGGTCACTCTCATTCTTGAAAGATGAGACAAAGTAATGAGACAAATTTTATAAAATTACAAGGCACACTCATTCTTGAAAGATGAGATGAAATAATGAGATCAATTATGTAAAACTACAAGACACTCTCATTCTTGAAAGATGACACAAAGTGGTGAGGTACATTTTGTCAAACTACAAGACCACTAGTAGTTCACCAATGACTGAATTGGTAGAAATTATATGTGCTTAATCTTTTTCAGCATTCTGATATATTTAATTAAATTAAATGGGAGAAAAGATTGAAAAAGAATTTAATGTGACCTGCATTTTCCTTCCTCTCCTTCCTATTCTCCTTTACACCTTACTGCTCACCCCCCAGTTACTCCCCTTCTGAGTAACCTGATGCCAATTCTCCTAAAGTCCATTTTGCAGCTTCCTTCTTGACTCTGATATATAATTTACCAACAAATATATTCATATGTAAATGCAAACCCTGGACATAATTGGCGTTTAAAACCCTATTCAGTGTTCACTTTCATTTCTACATTTTGCCTGTTATAACCTTCTCAAAGTCTACCTTCCTTCATGAGGGTTATTCACTTCCTATGAATTCAGTCCCAAAGACCATCCTAGAATCTTCTTTATCAGCATTTTCAAAACATTTACTGTATGCCAAGTGATGGTGCTGGGGAGGGTGATTACTTCCATTTCTCCCAGAGATGTCTCTCATTTTGTTTTCACACTAATCCTCTTAGGTAGGTTCTGTAATTACTTCATGTTACTAATGAGGAAACTGATCTCAGATAGACTAGGTATATTGTTAAAGGTCCCTCAACCCTTGGTGAAGATGGGGTCAGGATCTATGTAAGTCTAAGCTGTAGTTCTTAATAACATACATTGCCTTTCATGAATAATTTCTCCTTGAGTTTAATTCAGCCAATGTGGAGCACCTATATAAAAACATGTGTACATGTACAAACTCTATAAATATTATGTAAGTAGTCAAAGAAATCTGGCTATCCTGACAAAATTATCTGGGTATATAATCAGTATTTCTTTCACTGATCTACTATTGATAGACAACTCAGGAGCTGCCTCTTATCATTAGTTACAAATGTGCTTTTTAATTGATCCAAATCTAGGATAAAAGAAAAAATCCGTATGCTTTACTAAAGTAGAAGAGTAAAAGACATGAATTTTTAAATATTTTTATTGAGTTCAGAGAGGAAGGAAGAGGGAGAGAGAGAGATAGAAACATCAGTGATGAGAGAGAATCATGGATCGGCTGCCTCCTGCATACCCCACACTGGGGATCAAGCCCGCAACCTGGGCACGTGCCCTGACCAGGAATCATGACCTGCCGGTTCATAGGTCGACGCTCAACCACTGAGCCATGCTGGCCGGGCAAAAGACATGGATTGGGCCATGGATGTGGGCCAACAAGGGCCAGCATACTGAGAAAGACTGACTTACTTTACTATGTGGGAGCCAAGGCACTGTTCCATCTGATACATACTTTTTTGCAAGGACCAAAATACATTTTAAAAAATATATTTTATTGATTTTTTACAGAGAGAAAGGGAGAAGGATAGAGAGAAACATCGATGAGAGAGAAACATCAATCAGCTGCCTCCTGCACACACCCCACTGGGTATGTGCCCGAAACCAAGGTACATGCCCTTGACCGAAATCGAACCTGGGACCTTTGCATCCGCAGGCCGACGCTCTATCCACTGAGCCAAACTGGTCAGGGCCCAAAATACATTTTTAAGTGTGAGGTCTGGTGTGTGATACATTTCTTGCCTTGCCTTTTAGATTATCAGTCAATGTTTTGCTACTGTGATAACCTCAAGTTCATGGTTGCTTGCATGGCAGATGGGTTGCAGGATGGGGCCAAGGAGAAGAGACTTTGTCCCCTCTTTTGGTGGCCACCAGAATGGTGTTAAAGGAATGACCACAGGCAACAGAGAAAACACTTTCAATGAGAATAGAAAATAGAACAGTAGTGATCCCTAAATTATACTAGTATTCCCTGAGAGAAATATTGGGGAGAGCTTTGGGGTTTTCCAGAACGGGAGCTTGAATCAATTTATTTTGATCAGAAAAGAATGGGGAACTCTAGGAGATATCTTGATTACACCATAAAAACTCAACCATCTAACACTTTTTTTTGGTAAAGAACAATGTTATGTTTGCTAGAACAGGGAACAGATAATGACATAGTTGCTTCTTGAAGGTAAATCTGAATATATCAGCATGTGCAGTCAACTTATTTGCTGACTTAAAAACAGTGTGATGAAATTTTTTTCCTGTAAACCCATTATTGCCCGTAATGAAAGACTCTATACGCTCTAATCACAACATTCAACCTTATGCTTGATCATAGCTTCTAAAAATTCGTGATACAGGGATTTTTCGTTATACTCGACACATTTTTCCTTCAGAGACCTGATTGGTTGTTCCAGATGCTGTGAATGATATAAATTGAGCTCTCAGTTGGAAGAAATCTATAGGATCAAGCATCCCGAGCTTCAGACAGAAACCTGCTCTGAATACAAATACCCAAAGGTATGTGAATTTCATTCATTATTTGGTATTATTTCTACTGTGATTATTTCTTTTTCTACATTTCACGTCCAAAAGCTACGATGTATTATGCATTTCTAATACTTTATGCTGTTACCATTCAGTTATGTCTTCAGTTGGACCATAATTGAGACTCTGATTATTAAATGAAGTGTGTTACTTCGTAATGCAGCAAAGTATCTGTATTTCTTTAAATTTTAGTTCCAAAATCTTAATGCACTTTTGGGGGCCAAATTTCAAAGCAAAATACTTACTTTAATTACTTCTCAGGTAAGATAAAAATAATTTCCACCCTCTGCCACCCACTACTTTAAAAAACATTTTACTTAATGACATCAAATAGAATCATCAACGGAAAGATTTTTCTCCTTAATTCAAACTTTCAAAAACAGATTTAGGAGCTAGAAAATGTCAGTGTACTTTCCATAGCCAGCATTCTGACACATGGTATTCACTTCCTATGCAAAATGGAAGGCCTTCCTTCTGAAAGCTTTAAAAGTGAGTGGATAATGTATACCACCAAGCCAATGTGCATGTCTTAGGGTAGCCTGTTGTGCTTCCTGTCTCAAGGGCTTTCTTTGTGGGATAAGCCCAGTGCAGTGTCAAACAAAAGGAAGATGTCAGTGATCAAATATGGAATCTTTTAAGTAGATGGCATTCGAAACTCATGGAATAATCACAGAATTCGAGTGCCATCCATAACCACATCTTTTGCTGCACACCTGGACCTCAGAGATGTTACCTGAGGGTCTTGCCTGAAGTCCTACTGGTGGGAACACCCGGAGCCAAATTCCACTCCTTCCTTATTCTGTTGGCAAGTTACTTAATGTCTTTTCTCAACGATGAGGCTTTGTTTTTTTTAAAATATATTTTATTGATTTTATACAGAGAGGAAGGGAGAGAGATAGAGAGTTAGAAACATCGATGAGAGAGAAACATCGACCAGCTGCCTCCTGCACACCTCCTACTGGGGATCTGCCCGCAACCCAGGTACATGCCCTTGACCGGAATCGAACCTGGGACCCTTCAGTCCGCAGGCCGATGCTCTATCCACTGAGCCAAACCGGCTTCGGCAAGGCTTTGTTTTGAACAGCAGAAATGCTCAGGCAAACTGTACAAAAAACACATTTCTCTACCGCCTGGTTCTCAAAGTATCAGATACTGTGTATCTTGACGCTCTTCTCAATTTTAGAGTCAACTCAATTCTTTTCAGCATTCATTATAAGCTACACTTAGCTTCTATGACTCTGAAGCTTATGGGTGTAGGGAAATGGCATGCAAAATACTGCAATGATAGATTATCCACGTCCCTGCAACGTGGTCAGCTCTCAACCTAAAGGAAAAGCATCTTTCTCACTATTGGGACCCTAGAAACAACAAAATGGGCTGAGAACTGGGAATCATACAGGAATGAAGTAACCTCAAACAGAACTGTCTTATCCTTCCCACTAACAACAGATCAATATGGATTATGTGGGTTTTGTGGGGCTTTAATGATGTCCATATGTGAGAAGAGATAAAGAGAGTGTGTGTTGACATGTTTCAGGACCATCAAGAAATGGGGACCTGGATTCTGTTTGCCTGCCTTTTGGGAGCAGCCTTTGCTATGCCCGTGAGTAAAACGACCCCGATGCATACGTCAATGTCCAATTGCACAAGCTTGGAAATAAAACTGCCCCATAGTTGGTAAACTCTGGGGTTTAGAACAGTATTAAGATAAGATGTCCTCGAACAGTTTTGTGTTTAAAAAATACTTTGAAGAGCTTGTTTTTTAAAAAATAGATTCTCAGATGTCTCCACCAAAGATTCTGATTTAGTACAGCCGAGATTGGGCCCAGGACTCTGCACTTGAACAAGCACGGAGGAGATTCTGATGAAACAATACGCTTGTAAAGATCATGGCTCATCTCTAGATGGAGGAAACTTCTGGAAGGGACCCTTGAAAGGCCTCCAGAGAAAGTGCCTAAGTCAGCCTGAGGCAAATTAAAAAACGCCAGTTTTCTCTAAAACCCAACTTCTCGCAAGTGTCCAAATCTCTTTCTGCTCTCCCCATCCCCGTGCTGTATCCTTCAGGGGTACAGTTTCTGTGATAGGAACTCCCTTCTTGAACCATCTTCCTGTTCTCAGAAGCCTCATCCCTTTGGGGGCTCCTGCTCAGCGCATGACTTCTGGGTGGAATCCTCCCGACCCCCAGTACATATGGATATATTTTACATTCAAAGGTATCAAGGCCCAGGAAGGTTGACCCATTCTCCCTGGACATGGGTACAAAAGCTCAAAGAGCCTAAATCACATGAAGGCACAGCAGGATCCGTCTGCTTCTCAGCGGCAGAGAGAGCAGTTGATACGACCAGAAGCCAGCAAAGCTTGCATATCTGCCTCCTCTCCTCCTCTCTCAAGCACACGCCCAAGGTTCTGCACTCTGCCTGCTTGAAATCCTGCCTTGTGGCAATTCCTGGTGCCCCTAGGAGCCTCTGCATTACAAACTCAGCCCCCTTCCCCCCCTCAACTCAACACCCCTACCCTCTGAGGGGCTCACATCAAGAAGGTATAGAAAAGGCAGTTACGTGACTCAAAGAATTCACACTCAGATGAGAGCAAATGAGCCCTCTTAGGAAATACGAGCATTTTAAAAGAACAGAGCCTTAGATAGCTTGACGTCTGAGGAAGATGTTCTGCATGATGCTCTCTCCCCTCCTTCTCACCCATCCCATGGCCGACCAAGCTTCAGAAGGCAGGCATCGGGCACTTGGTCCACACTTTGCACAGGACAAACAGTCCTGGTTTAGCTCAGGATTCCGGTTGTTTTTATTTTCAACTTTTAAATGTCTCTGCTACAAAAACATTGATAGAACAATAACAAAAATCGGCTTAAACTTCATCCACCCACCCTTTCTTTTTCCATGGGGATTTAGGTTTCCACTTCCCTGCGCCCAGCTTGTCCCCAGATTCAGCAATAATGCACTTGTTTGTTTTGTTGTTGTGTTATTTACTTTGCCTGTGAATGATGAGGAATCTCTTTGATGCTTAAGCACTCCCCCACCTCCTGATCTGTGAGGGAAGGTCTGGGAGATGATTCTTTCATTGGTATTTCATGTTGTGGCAGAGAAACGTGTCTCTTCCCAACATGGAATGAGTTTCAAGAGGAAGACGGTGGGTGGGATAGAGTAGGATTGATTGACAGCATGGATGGCGGGTCTCCGAAGGTCACTGGAGGACAAATGGGTGCTGGTTCCTGCTTCTAGGCCTCCCACCATAAGACTGCAGCTGTGGGGAAAGTCTTTCAACTAAGAGGGCTCCTCTCCCACACAGCATACATGTTCAACGAAAAGCAGACCTCAAATATATTCTGCATTATGTTGATTTTTTTAAAGTAGCTTCAGTCTCTCTTAATGTGAACAAATTGCATATTGACTTAATCTCTTCCTCTCTCTCTTCCTCTTCTCTCCCTCTCCCTCTTTCATTTTCTTCTCCTTCTCCCCTCCCTATAAAAGCTACCACCTCATCCTGGCCACCCTGGTTATATCAACTTCAGCTATGAGGTAATTTTTCTCTTTACTCATTTTGACCATTGTTTGAGTTAACCATGTCCTGGGATCTGTAAAGAAAAGTGTGTTGATTCTTCATTCAAGATGTTTATCAGTCCCACCTTGTTAGCTCCCCCTACTGCTTCCTGGTTTAAGCTCTGGTGAGTCGCTTCAAGTCTGAATTGCCCCAGCACGCTCCTGCCTGGCCCCTCTGCCTCAGTTTCTCCTGCTTTTATGGCATAAAAGTATTCGTCATGAGCTGTCACTCGGGGGGACCGCATGGTAGGGCAGAAAAGAAACTCCGGCCGAGCAGGTTTATTCTATCCCAGCCCCCAAAATGTGGGGAATCGGGTAAGATGTTAAGATCCTTTCCCGCTAGAAAACGCCTGATTCTAAGATGTTCATCCCCTGTGTGTATCCCTCACTTGTCTTTACGGAAAGATTCGTGACCAAGTAGTCTATGAGCCATTCTTCAGAGCAATACAAAGCTTGAGATTTCTGAAAATGGGGTTAGAGGCTCTCCTCAGCCCCATACTAACCATGTGACCTTGGGCAAGTCATTTTCATTCTCTGGGATTCTGGTTTCCTCATCTGTAGAAGGGAAATAATTACAGTATCCACACTTCAAATTACTGTTTGGGGAGCGAAATAGTCCAGCAACATAAAAGGTGCTTTGTCAAGTATAACTTGAGCAAGATTAATAATTGTTTGTTGTAGTGATATCCAATGCTGTAGCACTATATTAAGGAGTCCTTGCCCCTGAGGTTGCCTAGATATATACTGTTTAGAGAAGGAATGAAACTTCCTTCTTTCATAGGTTTAGATGACACTCTGTGAGTCTATCTATTCATACAGGCTGAGGAAAAATGTGAATAAGAATTTCAGGCAAGATTTTCTGGTAACCTTACAAGGCTGACATATTTGACCAGAAAACCTGTGTTTATAGAATGAGGAACATGGTTTCTGCCTCCTTTCTTTATTCATTGTGACATCAAATCAAAAAATAATGATTAATGTTGTGTCACATTAATTTTTCTGGTTTGTTTTGCTCTTGCAAAGAAGAGCAGAAGCTGAGGAATGAAACAGAATTGCTACATTTGTAACCTCAGCCAAGCTCATGAACCTCTTTAACTCTCCATGACCTTGTAGGAGTGAGGGTGATGCCAGGTCGGCGTGGCTCAGCGGTTGAACATCCACATATGAACCAGGAGGTCAGGGTTTGATTCCCGGTCAGGGCACATGCCTGGGTTGTGGGCTTGATCCCCAGTGTGGGGTGTGCAGGAGGCAGCCGATCAATGATTCTCTCTCATCATTGATGTTTCTCTCTCTCCCTCTCCATTCCTCTCTAAAATCAATAACAATATATTTTTAAAAAGAGTGATGATGATACTTGCCTCAGAGTATGTGAGAAAACACGAAAAATGTGTGTGATGGATACAGCATAGCACCTAACACACAAATGTTTATTCTTCCTTCCATAGAACTCATATTTTTAGGTTATCAATATTGACAGGACTGCATTTTTGAATGTATATTTCATGTAACCATAGTAAAACAAATGTATTTTAATGTCTCTTTCTCTTAAGGTGCTCACCCCTCTGAAGTGGTACCAGAGCATGATAAGGCAGCCGGTATGTAGATATTTTGTTCTTTATTCTCTCAAACCACGAAGTGTGCAGTTCGATTCCCTTTGCAGTGAAATGCCATAGCTCTGCCACATCTGACACTAACAGGAAGTCTAGTTTCTAAAGGTCCTCTCTGTGGACACAGTTAGAAATTCTTGCCCAGGAGGAATGAATAAGTATTCAGATTGTCATAGGGACCAAGAAAACATTGCTATTCTCCAGCTGGAAGCCAATGAGCCAATGGTAAACCTGCCTCTTTGTTTCTCACCAGTACACTTCCTATGGTTACGAACCCATGGGTGGATGGCTGCACCACCAAATCATTCCCGTGCTGTCCCAGCAGAACCCCCCGAATCACGCCCTACAGCCTCATCACCACATCCCCGTGGTGCCAGCTCAGCAGCCCGTGGCCCCCCAGCAGCCAATGATGCCAGTTCCTGGCCAACACTCCATGACTCCAACCCAACACCACCAGCCAAACCTCCTTCCGCCCGCCCAGCAGCCCTACCAGCCCCAGCCCGTCCAGCCGCAGCCTCACCAGCCCATCCAGCCCCAGCCACCCGTACACCCCATCCAGCCCCTGCCACCCCAGCCACCTCTGCCTCCGATGTTCCCCATGCAGCCCCTGCCCCCCATGCTTCCTGACCTGCCTCTGGAAGCTTGGCCAGCAACAGACAAGACCAAGCGGGAAGAAGTGGTGAGTATCTCCCGGAGCCACTACAACACCCGTGGGCATGGTGAAGCGAAGGCCCCCAGAGTTCTAAGTTCTCCAACCATCCAGCTTCTTCACGTTCAGTAGCGATAGGTCATGGACTCTATGAGTATAAGCATGTGCTGTAATTTGATATGATCAACAGGTTTATCTACATGGCTTCGTAATGAAGACCATAGCCTTTATGGTGGGTTTCAAAGCTTTAATTCCTACCAGAATATATAGTACTGAAACCTGTTAACTTTAAGAACAATGATATGAAACAATATCTGTTCTCCTTATCTTTCAAGTGTTAGACTAGCAGGAATAGGCTAGAAGTGCACTGAATATTATTTTAAAGGAGGGGATGCAAATATTTAAACAGGGAGGTGGGACATCTCTTTAAAGACCTACAGAAGATGACCTATTTAAAGTGGCTTTTAATTGAACTTGGAGGAAGCTAACCAGACAGAGGGTCAGGTTCCTTTTTGGTGAGGAGCCAGGATACCCGGGTTCCAATTCTGGCTTTGCTCCCAAAGAGGAGATGGTATTAAACAAGTTACTTCAAATTGATAGGTGTTTTTCCTTCTTCAAAATGAAAGAAAAGAACTAAATCAGAGAATGTTCAAGCCTCTGTCCAAGTACAAATACCATAGTTTCCCAGTAAAAATGAGAATATATTATAATATATGCCATATGTGTCTTCACAATGATGGAGAATCAGGGGCAGAATTTTTGAAAATTGATGGTATCACCAATACTCTGGTGCGTATATTTGATTATTCTAGTCTAAGGCATATGTTCCCTCTTTGTATAGAAAATATATTTATCTATCTCTTTGTTAATAACTAAGGCCATGAACTTCATAATGTGTTCATACCCTGCCAGAGCTATTTTTAAAGGGCTGCCTTCGAATAGGGAGCTTCAACTTTTGAAAACTCCCGTGTAAAAATAGAGTATAAATATTGATAGCTTCATAGACTTGTTTTATGGAAAGTAAAGTGGTGAGGTCAGATCCTGGCATACAGGAAGTGCTCAATAAAGATAGCAATTGTTCTTTTCTAATTAAATAATAGTTTTAAGTATCCTGAAGGCAGAAGCCTCCATCCTGGATACCTCATTTCTAATGTCAAGGAGCTAACGAAGAAACTTGGACAATTATAGAGCCAAACTTAAATGGTTGTACATTGTTTTGGCAAAACTGAAGCCCTACGTTTGTAAATGATACTTGCTAAGAATATTTGTAAACTATTTTAATTGTTCCTTTTGCTATTTTTTTTCAGGATTAAAAGATCAGAAAAAGAGAAGATAACTGAAGGAAATACTTCAGTTACTTTTAGAATGACAGTGATTCGTGCCTAGCATCACTTTCCTTAGCAAATTCTATAACTAAAAATGAGTTCCATTAGCAAACAATAAAAATGTTTTAAAAATAATTCATGTCTTTGTGTTGAATTCAATTTAAAATTTCACATCACTTGAGAGAACAATTTATAATGGCTATTCTTTTTTTAAAATATATTTTTATTGATTTCAGAGATGAAGGGAAAGAGAGAGAGAGAAACATCAATGATGAGAGAGAATCATTGATCGGCTGCCTCCTGCACGACCCTACTAGGGATTGAGCCCGCAATACGGGCATGTGCCCTTGACCAGAATTGAACCCAGGACTCTTCAGTTCTCAGACTGGCACTCTATCCACTGAGCCACACCAGCTAGGGCAATAATGGCTATTCTTGAATAAGGCAGGAACTTCTCATTTATACCTACAAAATGACCATTCTTCAGGCAAATGAGTACTATATTTCTTTTCAGAAAAACTTTAAAATATACTATCTCAAATATTTTTTAAAACAGGAGTTTTACTTTCTCAGAAAGTAAAAAATGATAAACATGTACTATCACTGAACCTGAACCAAATGAAGGGAAGTTTATATGAAGAATTCTTTACATTGAAAAAGATAAGCTCTTGAGCAATGCTTACATTACAAAACGAATTAAGACTTGGAACACTGGCTTTGTAACTCACACCACATTAGTAACTAAAATCTGCTCTTTTGATCTCATTTTACTGTAAAAGATTTTTTAAATGAAATTATGTGATAGGGATAATAATGTACTGAATTTTAAATCAGTGAGGTAATTAGTTTTTCTAAGAAAACTTTTATTGAATGGAGCTTCAAATCATCACAGTAATTTTATATATTTAATTTCTTTCACTTTCTAATCTTTATGATGATAAATTCTGCTGTATAGTCTTCAATAGGTTAACAGATTTATAAAATGGACTCAATACAAGATTGCTTTCCCACTCATATTTATATTTGAATCCTTTTTTCCTCCTACACCCACACAAAACTGTAAACACTTTTTTCAGGGCTTGTATTACACAGCACCCACAGTAACTTTATTCCAGTACTTTTCTGAGTAAGGCCTCTTCATCATTTTCTGGAATGAAGAAAAGTAACTTTACTAGGAGGGTGTCAATATTCAAACAAATAACTTGATTTTAAAGAATTTAGATTCAATTGAAAAAGTAAGAAAGCTTCTAATTAATTGGTATGGGCAATTCTAATCAATTTAGTAATATTTATTGATCACCCTCTAGGACAAGACACTATTCCATGTCTTAATGAATATTGTAAGTCCCCATCCTTAAATAATCGAGAATATACCAAAGGCATAAAATAAGCTCACAGATAATAAGAGAAGGCCTTACAGCGGTAACACTGACAGAAGTTAGTCAGATGCTCTGGTGAACATCACAGGCATCATTAGCGAGCTGTCCAGCAGCTCTCCTCACCACTCATTCCCTGTTGGCAGAGCCAGAACTAATCTGAGCATCTCCCTCCCACGAGCTCGGGAGACATGAGCCTCCTCCCCTGTCCCAGGGAATGAATGTTCACTCCTCCATGTCAATTATGGCATCCATTACCATAACATACCATATCCGTACCAAATATGGCATCTATTCCCCTTGCCAGTGATTGGTTTAAGGATAGCTGTGGTGGAGCCTGAACACTGAATGAAGCCAAAAAGGAAGTCTGCTAGGAGGAGCTTCTGGAAAAAAAGATGACCCTTTCATTACACACACACACACACACACACACACACACACACACACGCACGGAAAAAGTGTTCTGTCTTTGGCTCTATTTCTTTGAGGATGTGATGTGTGGAACTGTGTCTGCCATTCTGTGACAAGGGGGGGCACGTAGAAAGATGGAAAGTCCCTCGGTCCTTGGTGGCATCATTGTGTCCCTAAATTCACCAAACTCTGGGACCACCTACCTCTATCTAGGTGGATGACACACTCTATTTCTATGCTAGTGTTTTTCAATCATGGGTCATAACTGATTCACAAATGATATCACATCAGGCCCCCATCATTTATGTCATTAGAGCAAATTGTCTCTTCCAACGATGCAAAGCTTACCTGGCCAGGACTAAGGGGAATTATTTGAATGTCATCAAAAGTTAATGACTTTCCTGAAAAAAATCGGATAAATGGAGAAAATATATTTATATTTATCCTAGCATATTCTTTTTTTAATATATATTTTATTGATTTTTTACAGAGAGGGAGGGAGAGGGACAGAGAGTTAGAAACATTGATGAGAGAGAAACATCGACCAGCTGCCTCCTGCACACCCCCCACTGGGGATGTGTCCACAACTAAGGTACATGCCCTTGACCGGAATCGAACCTGGGACCCTTCAGTCTGCAGGCCGATGCTCTATCCACTGAGCCAAACTGCTACGGCTCCTAGCATATTCTTCAAAATATATGCCCCCACACATACTTTGTCTTCCACAGCTCATGAAAATATTATCATTATATTTATTCCCAATGAGAAAAACTTTAAAGGTGTAAGTGATGATGTCATTTGCAGACTGTGTGTGGCACTGGAAAGAACACAAACTTTGGAGTCAGACTGGATTGCTTTCAATTTTTCTGATCGAAGAGGATTCTCTGTTTGGGAAAGTATTTGAGAAAATAATTCTCCCTTTATAAGAATTCAAACTAGCCAAAACCGGTTTGGCTCAGTGGATGGAGCATCGGCCTGTGGACTGGAGGGTCCCGGGTTCGATTCCGGTCAGGGGCATGTGCCTTGGTTGCGGGCACATCTCCAGTAGGAGATGTGCAGGAGGCAGCTGATCGATGTTTCTCTCTCATCGATGTTTCTGGCTCTCTATCTCTCTCCCTTCCTCTCTGTAGAAAATCAATAAAATATATTTAAAAAAAAAGAATTCAAACTATATATATGTGTGTATATACACCTATTCGAGTCACATTCTAAATTACAGGAAAAAAGTCAGGCTTTGGACTCCAAAGACTAGCCACTATGGAATGAGATGTACTGCACAAGATAATTTTAACAAGAAACTGAAATGTGTGTATTCAATGTCCAAACATGTGCTTTAATATCATCATTCTCATGGTGGTCTTTTACGATCACGCTGTTCTACCACATTCAACGATGTATGTGAATCACAACATAGCATCTCTTTGATGGTCCAGAGTGAGGCTTCTAAACATCCATCAGTGAGGTGTGTGGCCCTGGAAATGCAAAGGTAATAAGGCTGTATGCTTCTCACACTGCCCCGTATTACTCCCTCTTTCTACCCTATTCCATTCTGCTCTTGGCTATCACTTCTTCTTCCTGTTTTTTGGTTAATGTGTATTGACATCTTCTAATATGTAGCTTTTTCCTATACACGTTCTCTCTGACAAAATAAAGGACATTGGCCTGGGGATTGTTATTCTCGAAGGTCCACAGTCACTCGGAGACTATTTTCTTTCCTGATTCCGCAACTGGGCCAGATGGCCACAACTGACAAAATTCTGACATGTAGATGTAACCACATACGTCACATAGCTGATGTAAGTTGAATAAAACTGAACGCTTCTAGTTCATTAAGACTCAGGCTTAGTGAGCTCTATATATTTGAATCAAATATGGAAAAAAAGTACTAGATACTTTGAATGACCAAGACTCAAAGTCCAGGCTGAAATAAATAGCAATACTGATCACCAATGCATTTATAAAACCAAACTTAAATCTAAAGAATTCTTAAATTAATAACAAAGCAAAACTAGATTATTTACAGAGCTGTGCTATGTCTTTGAAATTAAGTTAAAGAGAGAGATGAAGTTAAGTAAATCACCTCAAGGAAAAACTCATCTCACTAAAACCACTTCCATGTCACTAATAAATGTGAAATCTCTACACTCATTCACTCTTTGCTGGTGAGGGCTTCCATATGCATAATTTTTTCCAGAGGGCAAATATATGTCTAGGAATTACCCTAAGAGAGTCATTGAAATGCAAGGAAAGATATGTGCAAAGATGTTGATTACAGCATTATCTATATCGGTGAGAAATTAGATCTCACTTAATTTTACTATATCTATCTGAAGGAATACTGAAATCAGAAGTATGCTTTAGAAGAAAATTTATTAGGAGAGAAAATGCGACAAACTAAAATTTAAGACCAAAACTGTGTATCATTTGTGAATATTACACATGACCATAACATGTAAATAATTGATACACACACACACACACACACACACACACACAAATGTGTATAGAAAAAAACTAGGATGGAGATGCACCGTTTGTATTAAGATCCAATTTTCCCACAATAAACATAAATTACTTCTATAATCAAAAACAAATTTAATTTTTAAAAGTTCGTTCTCCCTTTCTTCTGCTTCAGCCCAGACATACCTCCTTCCTTCAGTTCCCTTTGATGTGAGTTTTGGATCTTGGTGGGTCCGCTTCAGATAAAGTCCAAGTAGAAACCAGTTTATATGTACTTGACTTTTCAGAGAAATATTTTGACCAAAGAAGGGTGAGGGAAAAGGAGCAATTGGCTTTAGCAGGAACAAAAACAAACAATACAACCAAACAACAAAGAAGAGATGAGAGTTATAAAGTGAAGAAGAATTCAAAGCAACACAAAAAAGACAAAATAAAGAAATGACTATCAAGGCAGCTCCTGCTTAAATTCTATCAGAGGTTAACTGGGTTCAAAGAGCAGGCAGGTCAAAGCTAAAATACAATGACTAAGCCCTAAACCCTTAAAGCCCGCAGGGTGTAGGGTGCCGTTTCACATTAAATGAGTTTTCTTTTGATTCAAATAATGCCTGAACTTCTGGCTGACTTAAAACTCATCAATAGTGTAATTTTATTTGGGGGCTGCAACGGGCTCTAATGTAATTTTTTCTCTCCTATGCTTAATCACATCAGGTCTGACTCATCTGAAGAGTTCCACCTCAATCAATAACAACTCCAATTAAGCCGAAAATGC